GAGGAGAGACTGAAAAGAGAAGGAGGAGAGCACTCCCTAATCGGTGTCTATATTGTTACCTTCACCTTCGGCTTTACCAGTTAAAGTCTTCTTCTTCTCTCTGTTTCTATGTAATTGTTGCAAGAAAACAGCGCGAAGGTTATTAGTGGGCCGAATCTGGGCTTAAGGCTTAGCCAACTCAAATTATGTTTATTAAGGGTGTATTTGGCATAACACACCCTCATGCCTTAATCATAATTTTTATGTTCATTTTAGTTTAATATTTGGCCAAGCAAACCCTTTTTTTATATTAAAAAATTCTAAAAATATTTGGGGATCTTTGTTGATTTATTTGTGGGCCGCTCACACTTTGATTTATTTTTTTCTTTGTGTTTTGTATTTTTTTAAGTTATGTGCTCAATCTGTAAACTACTATTGTTAAATACAAATATGTTGCGTAATTATTTTGTCATCTAAAAAAAAGCAAATAATAATAAAGGATAAATAAGAAAAAATAACATAGAAAATTTCTTCTTCAAATTTATTTTTTGCAAAAATATTCCTTGACATTAGAGTGAGGAGTATCGTATTTTTTGGATTTATGCGATATTTACCAACGTTAGAGATGAAAATATTTATAGGAATTATTCATTGACACTAGAATCAGAAACATGAAAGGAAGAATAAAGAAAAGAAAATGAAGAACAAATTTTTAGCAATTTTAAACAAAACCAGCAATATAGTCTGCCTTAAGTAAGATGTTTAAGAGGTGATAATATCTTTTTTTTTTTTTGTAACTAGTCTTATATCATAAAATTTCTATTGATTAGTTAGGATTTCTAGTAATCATAATACTAAATGACGATTCCTTAAACAAAATATTTTCCTCTAAAAATTTAAGATGCAGTATATTTATTTTTTTTCCAATTAAAATATTTTTTAATTAATCACCGCGGTAACTAGGTGTAACCATTACGACAATAACAGCTTATCACAGAAAACTAATGCTAAGTCTTAACCAATTTCGTATGAAATGAAATGGGAATTCAGATAGTATTACGCTGGTTACTTAAAAAATGTGCGCTCCCTGATATCTTCAATAAGCAGTTTCATGCTGAGATAAGAAGAGCCCTCTTCTTCCACTGCTTTGTATGCCATCTTTCTAAGCTCTTGAACTCTTCTTCTTCTCTCTTCACTTTCCTCTCCATCATTCATAAGAGTGTTTACAGCGTTCTTTACCTGTTCCTTTTTCACCAACACCCCAAATTTCTCTTCCTCTCCCCATCTTAAAGTAACCTCTGACCCAACCCTTACACCAATCTTCAACACTTCGACAACTAACTTCTCATTACAAAACTGGTCTCCGAAAAGTGGCCATGTAACCATCGGCAAGCCTGCGGATATACCTTCTAGAACTGAATTCCAGCCACAATGCGTTAGGAAGCTTCCAATTGCTGAATGTGATAGTATTGCAACTTGTGGTGCCCAGCCCTGAATTATGAGGCCTCTCCCTTTTGTCCTCTCCTTAAAACCGTTCTCTTCAAACCAATTCTCCAATTCTTTTGATTTTTCTCTACCTCTTGTAACCCATATGAATGGTTTGTTTGATGCTTCCAAGCCCAACCCGAGCTCCATCAGTTGTGGGGTTATTAGATTACAGAGACTACCAAGACAAACATATATTACAGACCTTGGTTGCTGTGAATCAAGCCACTTCAAGCACTCCGATTCATCAATTGAGGATTTGTCACCTCTTTGAACTTTGTCTATGTCGTCTTTGTTGCATACAGAAACTGGACCAACGCACCAAACTTTACCTCCTGTTGCCCTTTTGTATTCTTGAACGTATGCTGGCTCTAACTCTTCAAATGAATTAATAATAAACCCATACCTCAGCATCTCAGCACCTGAAACTTGAGCAGAAAAATCTTTTACATCTAACATGGCATAAGGAAGCTGGTTTGTGGTCAATTCAATATGATCAGGCAGTCCAGGCACAACGAAAATCTCCGATTCAGAGTTTACTCTCTCAAGAACCTTGTTAATTTGTATGTTGTGCAAACACAGGGTACAAAAGCAAGAGAACCCATTGAAAGAGATTCTTGGAATACCGAACTTGGTTGCCACATCACTTGTGTAGGGCAGACACATATCCGAGATTATGCAACTCGGTCTTGGTGTTAGCACTTCAAACAATCTTTCGACCGGCTCTCGTAGCATATTAGCTGCCATGAATAACTCATAGCCTAAGCCTAGTGAAGGAAGCATGTCAAAATTCTCGATCTCATTTGGCAATCCTGCTTCTTGACAAGGAAACTGAATTTCAACGGACTTTATCTGGAGCCCGGATTCTGCTGCACGAGCAAGAGGAACGGCAACTCGCTTTGCATTAAGCTGTGTGGTGACTATGGTGACAATGACACCATGGTGCGCCAACATTTTGGCGATATCAAACATAGGAATCATGTGTCCTTGAGCCATCAAGGGAAACAAGACAAAGTGGAGTTGGTGGGATTGGGTAGCCATGGTACTGACCAAGAGTAGAGGAGTTCTGTTTTTATTCCGGTGGATGATAAGTGTATATTCACAAAAACTCCCACTTTACTCTCTATGCTTCATCACTAGCTAGATAGGGATATGATAGGTGGGCAAATGCGAGGTTAGGAGATGAGGGAGAAGTTGTGGACTATATTATAGTCATCTGCCTGTGGAGCGTGTCGCTGTGCTCTTCTTTCCTGGATGTTTCTGCCTGGTGGAAACTAGGTACCAGTCTTCGCAAATCTCTTTTTCCTTCACGCCCATATACTTTGAACAGCCCACCAGAGACTAAAGGAGCGCAATCTATGGGCAAATGTCGCGTCAACCATCGGTGTTAATTTAGTATTGGAAACGTCAACTAAACGTTTTTCGGTAAAAAGTTATTTATTTATTTATTTAATTTTTTTAATTTTTAAATTATTTTAATATGTTGGTGATAAAAATAATTTTTTAAAAAATAAAAAAATATTATTTTAATACATTTCAAAATAAAAATATTTTAAAAAATAACTATTATTACAATAGTTATAATAAATTTTTAATTGAATCTTAACTTTGAATTAAAATTTATTTTAATTAATAAATTAAAGGTTAAAGTGAGTTTTATTATAAAAAAAAAAAAAGAGAGAGTTGTTGTTCGAATCATGTTTAAGATTGTATGATTGAATTCTAGAGGAAAAGATGAGCTATTAAACATTTGTGAGGAAAGGACGTCTAAAAGCAAACATAAAAAAACAGAGAGAAGCTCCAAGTGTTTTGCTAATGACAATCATATATTTATTTTAATCACCATGTTTTCATTAAAGTACCTCTGTTTTTGTTTCCTTCTTAAATAGCGCAAAAACATTGACGGCTAATTTGAATTTATCTATACCAATTATTGGTTTAGAAAATCTACCAATTATTTCTAGCAAGAAGTGTTTATTATTTGTTTTTCAAAATTCACAAATAATAATACAAGTGGGCATATTTGTTTAGTCTATGATCATCCAGTATAATAATAAGAATATAATAAACTTAAAATCATACAAAGGCTAGCATAAAAGGTTAAAACACAAATATGCATACTAAATACATTTATATTTTAATAAAACTAATTTAGGGTATTTGTTGAAGCTCAAATAATATAAATAAGCTTCAATTCTTGTTATTCTCAAGAATTAATTCTTTTTTCTTAAAGTTTTATTACTGATTGCTTGGTATAAAAAGAATTTTCTTTAATAAGTTTCATATGATTTCATCGCCGCCATCTTGTTTAGATACGCTTCTAAATAAGTTCCAACTAATCAAAGAATTATACTCAATAATCTCTAAAAGGATTGAATCTAAGCTCTAAATTAAAAGAAAAATAAGAAGAGGAAACAAAGATTTAAAACCATAAGAGCAAAGTTGAAAATAGGAGAATAAAAGTGTTAAAATTATGTATAATTTGTATAGAAAAACCAATACAAAAACACTCTTCTCAAGCCCTTTTTATAGATAATTTTAAGAATTAAAGAATTCCTCTATTATCAACTTTAATTACCCTTCATAAAACCAACATTAAACCTTGATATTTTTATTTTTTTAACAAGATGTCTTTTGAGCTGATAAAATTATTCAGGTTTTGTATTACATTCAAGGGCTAGATAAAACACTAAACTAGGCTAAAAGAAATAATTCTTTATGGACCAGACTTTAAATTAAATTTAAGTTCAAAAAAATATATTTTATAACCCCAAAAATTATTTTACAACAAACCAATGCCTACACCAAAGCTTGACCCACGTATTTGCATCTGTATGTTTAGACCCAAAACTCACTTTGTTTAGGATCTCTTATATTTAAAAGCTTGGGTGTCCTTTGAATTTAATTTTAACATCACAACTCCCACTATAAAAGGTTCAATAAAGTTGTTTTTTTTCCCTATATGGAATATAGTTTTTTTAGAGAGTTTTGAGTTTCTTCAAAACATGTTTACCTATGGTTCTTTGAGATTAAATTCTCATTCACCCATGTTTTTTTTTTTTAAATCATGTTAATTTTTTATGTTAAAGAATTTATGTTTAAAATTAAATTCCACGGAGTTTTAACCTTAAAAATAAATGGACCTCACTTATAATTTGACATCAAAAGTGTCTATTAACTATGTGCTTAAACAAAATTCCCAACAACTCGCTATATGAATGGAAATTATTTGAGCAGTTTAAAACTGACTCAAAGATTCATAAAAAGATATTAATATAGTTGATCACTACATCATGATAGATGGTTTTTTACTTTAAAACTTCCTTAATAAAATACTATTAAATTTGCTCGCTAAATAGTGAATATGTTGTCATGTTTTATTTAGATTTTTATGTAAATTAAGATAATATTACTCACATATCTCTTCACCTAGAGATTGTTTTTGGTTTTGGTTGTGTTTATTTTGTCATTTAATCACTCCCAATTTCATGAGTATTTTAGGAAATTCGTCTTTTTTAAAATTCTTAAAGAAATGACTATATTTGTCACTCATATAGATAATCTTTCATTAAACTAATTCTAATGCAATCCACTTAGCATACGAAGATATAAAAATCATTAATAGAATAACTCATCCTTATTACGTTGCAGCTATAACCTCTTTCATTAAAGAAATAAGAAAGAAATAATAATTTTCTAATGTTAATAAGAATATTATATAACTTAGTTTTTATTTGAACTTAAATCTTTAGTTAGTTTTTATTTGAATTTAAATCTTTAGTCAACTAGATATAGTTATTATCATTACACTATTTCATCTTTAAAGGCTTTAAGGTCATTTTCCTTGATGAATTATACATAAGCTTTTTCAATAAATCTTTGGTTAGGAGATCCATAATATTTTCCTTTTAGTTTACATAATTAATTAAAATAACTCTATTTGAGAGCAAGTGTTTAATGATACTATATCTACAATGCATATCTCTACACTTAACATTATACATATTATCTTGTGCCCTTCTAATTGCTGAATAATTGTTGCAATAGATACAAATAACCGACACAAGTTTGAATCATGTTTAAGATTGTTTGATTGAATTCTAGAGGAAAAGATGAGCTATTAAACATTTGTGAGGAAAGGACGTCTTCTATCTTTGTATAACATATCATTTTTATTAAAATTAAAATTAAAAAAAAACTAAAAAAGAAGGATCTATTCATTGAAAAAGTGATTTGTTGAAATTTCTCCTGCCCCCAAAAAAACCCTTTAAATTATGCATAGAGCAAGGTGATATTTTTACCATAATATAATTATTTTTAACAATTTATATAGCATTGTACAGTAAAATTACTAATTTAATTTTATAATAAAAAATAATAAAATATCTATCAATAAGAAGCAATATGATGTTCTTAATTTTTTTAAAATAGTAAAATTACTTTTTTATCTATAAAAACAAAATTAACATGCCTCTCTCACAAAGGTTTTTTTTTTATCTTTTTACATTGATTTCATTGTTAATATAAGGTTGGACAATATTATATTTAATTATATTTTAAATGTTATTAAATAAATATTTTGAGGCCAACAATAATTTCTTGTTTCCTCTTTTATCCTACTCGAACTCCATGCTACACCTTTTAAAATTTTAGACTAGCCTCTTTAATTTTTTTTCCTTCATATTTGATTTTTGTCATTTTAATTACTATTTTTGTATAATTTAAAAAATTAAAAATATTTTTTAATTTCATCCCCTTTTATTTTTTTTTATTCTTTCAAATTTGATTTCTATTTTTTTATTGCAAACTTTGTTGTTGTTTGGGATCAATTTTTTAATTTTTTTTATAATTTCATCTTCATTAAGTGTTTTTTTCTATAAAATTTAATCTTCATTCTTTTCATTACTATTTGTTTTTTCTTTGACGAGTTTTTTAAATCGATATTTTTTTTTCACAATTTCATCATTCAAAATTAAATTGTTTAGAAATGAAGCTTCTTGATTAAACCCTAGTCAAATATTTCACAAGTTGAGTTTTAGAAATTAAATAAGGTTTAGGAGGTTTACTTAAGTTTTTTGATTATTTTTTTTTTAAGATGGTGTTATTTTTATCAATTTTTTTTATTTTTTCTTTGTTATTTGTTGCAGTTTTTCTTCTATAAAGTTAGTCTCAGGTTCATGAATAGAGTTCTTGATTTCAAAGGTTAATGCATGTTGATATTTTTTTATTTTTTTTATTGATTTATTTTAATTTTAACTTTTAACATTTGATTTATTGAAAATTAATCTTTGTGTTTTTTCCCTTTTTTTTGTTGGGTTATTTGATCCTGTGACCATGGTCGTGGGGTTAGCAAGTTAAGTTAGCTTGACTTCAATTTTTTTCATTGCTTTTATAAATTAATTTTTTTTTTCAATATTAAGTTATTTGATAATTAAGATTCATAAATTTATTTAGTTTGCTTTCAAACACGGTCATCTTTGTATCATGATTGGGTTAGATATTTTTCATCTTAACATAGGTGAGCTCAAATTGAGTTTTTTTGACCTTTTTTTAATTATATATTCTTTATTTCATCTTTCAACATTTTATTTGATAGAAAATGAGCTTCAACTTTTTTTTCTTTTCATTTTACTTTATTTGGAGTTATTACAATCTCATTTGATTTATTAGAAATTAGTCTTTATTTTCCTGTTTTTCTTTTTATAAGATTATCTTAATTTTATATCCATGGTTGTGGAGTTTGCAAGTTAACCTAGTTCAACTAGGATCTTTTTTTTTTTTTTTTTTGCCGTTGAACATTGGATTTTTTAGTAATTTAAATGGTTTAAGGTCGAGTTTTTTTTTATATGTTTTTCAATGTTATTTATTTGTTAGTTTATTTATTGTTGATATATATTTTTTATTTATATTAATTAAATTATTAATTAAACCAATGACTAATATCATATATTTTTCTTGACATTTTTTATTTATATTGGAGAAAATAAAGAATGACCGGCCTGTAGCAGGCCACAAGTCTAGAATCCACAAAGTTTTGTCAGCATACTATAATGGGTTTGTCTATTGACTCCATGATTTGTTTCAAGGTCAAGAGTTTGGATTTTCTGCCGTATAGTTGAAGAGGTTCTTGCATAAATTGTGCTATAAAACTATATAATTTTCACGTTAGATATATTGGATTCGTAATTATATTCAAATTATTGTGACATCAAATTGTTTAAGTTAGTCTTAAATTTAAGT